TCTTTAACCCATGTGATGAGTGCCTTCTCCAAATCCGGGTGTTTGGCAGAGCGAAGTCTTTTTCTGCCATGGGCAAAAACTTCAGCTTCATAGGCGTCCTCGATTGTTTTCCTGTTGCGGAGATATGTTACGACATACTCCTCGGGATCTCGTGCTTCCTGGCAATCTCCACCTTGCGCGCTTTTCCTGCGTCTACTTCACGCAAAATCTCCACTTTCTCTCTCAGCGTTTTGGCGTGATACTTTCCTCGGGCCAGTATACCCGATGATGACATCGCGTTCTCAAAGCGCGTAGCACGTAGCTCGGTCGTACGGCCAGTACGGCCAACACCATCAGCTAAGTCACCAGCACAAATGGATCGGCGATCGCGCAACGGCTCAAACACAGTAGGACCGGATCAACGAGGCACGGAAACAGAACCGCAGGACTGGTAATGCGGAGAACAAAGGGACGTGAAGGGCTTCGAAAAGCGCGAAAGAAACCACTCTGAGCGCCCCTATTGGTCTCTCGAACGCCTAACGATGTTCCAAATATTCATGTTCGCATTCCAATCGGCCCGCAGTGGATACCGGTGACGCACTCGCATTTCCTGCAACACGCCTGCCGCATTTAGGAACGCGCAGCAACGCGGCTCCCGCCGTGCCGCCTGTCGCTTGACCGGAAAAGCTGCACGTATGGCGGCACGCGGTTTGAATTATGGGTGCCGGAAACGATTCGAGCGTGAATTAACGGGTTGTTTTACACATGTACCTCTACGCAGCGTGACCGAACCATGGTGACTGGTTCGAATTATCCAAAAGTTTGAATTAATGAGTTGTGAATTAACGAGCTTTCAAGGTACATACCGCTCAAAAAATGCAGGCGCGCGCAGGAAAATATTGTTTATAGTGCGGTTTCTGGAACAGCCCACCGACCCCGCCGGCCGACCGGCACAGCGAGCACGCTTCCCTGTTGCTCAAAGAAGCGAGGAGAAGCGAAGAGAGAGGCGGTACGTTCACACACATGCGTCCGTAGCGACCACAACGACTGGAACCGAAACGACCGTTGAAAGGGCCTGCAACCGTCAGTTGCCATAGCGATGGAGGGACGCACGCACGTGCCATTCACGACGCAAGGAGTTGGAGCGAGCCCAGCTTTCCCCGCTGTGTTGGAAAAACCGAAACAACCGCAACGACAGACCAATCACAGGTCGAGGAGAACTGGTCGCCCACGTTGCATGCCGGTCGCAGGCTGGCTTCTTCTATCTGCAAACATGGCGTAGGTGGTGACCGTCGACGTGGACGGCGTGGTGGAAGCTCATGGTTCCGCGTAAAAGCGCTATCCTTGTCTGTGAATTTTCGTCGTGTGTCGCTATGATAACCCAGCACATACTAGAAGGGAAGATCCACCTACTCGTGCGGCGATGTCGTGGCGGCACTCTCAAGACAGCAGAAATGCCTGTGTCGTCGTGTTTGTTTACTTCGACTACAGTGGTGATTTCTAAGCATTTGCGTCCTCGAACATCGCCCGGATTTCTTACTTGGAGCATTTCATGCGTGTGCTCAAGTTCAAGGTATTACTTGCGCATACCATATAAAGGATGCGAATTCTCACGCATTTTCATCACCGGAGAAAAGTGATTAGTGTTAGCAATCCTGAACGCTCGCAACGTCTATCTGATCACGAAATCATATTTCTATGTTGCTATATCGCTGCTAAGATTACAACGTCTTTTATAATCGTAGAAAAGGTGTGTAGCGAGATTTGTACTATTGGCAAAGTCGTGTATTAGAGTCGTAATCGTCCAAGACAGCATACTGCATCTCTTTCTTTTCTTTATTTCATCCACTGTATCCTGCAAGCCTGTCATGAGAAAAAAATAATAATAAAGCTTTAGGTTATAGAAAACTGTCTGTCTATATTCTGTTACGGCATTGAGTGGCAGTTCGTCCCCTTTTTAGAGGCACCGCTGGAACAGCTGACGGCGGCATAGAAGCAAGCGGTCGCCGTGCTGACGACCCGCTGCGCTTGTTGCAGTGGTTGCAGGTGTGTGTACATGCGGTGCAGAGAGGTCATTCCAGTCGCTCCGGTTGCAATGGACGCAGTCATAGATAACGCGCTCGTTGCAGATGTCTGAACCAGCCTGAGCTCCTTCATTGATGAGGTATTCAACTGCCTTAGCATCGTCGAAGACCAGGTCATCCGCAACGCCGTTAAAAAGCTGTGCCAGGCTCTTTCTTAGTTTCTTTCAAAATGTGTGACACACTTGAGAGAGAAGTGTACTAGTCTGGTGAAATAAGGACTTTCCTCAGACTAAGCTTTATTTTTCGTCTAACATAAAATACATTGTTTTACAGAGGTAAGTTGTCTCATGGCATGTAATTTGGCCTGAAAAATTGATGTTTTGGTTATAGCGCGGTACCGCTTATAGTGCGGATTTTCGCGACTCCCGTGACATACCTTATATGCGGTCTACACTGTACCTTGACTAGTAATAACCTGTCAACTGTACATGAAAGCAGACAAAAGGTGCAACTGACAATACAAATTGACAAAATTATGAGTACAAAACTGCACATGTCTAGAATAATAGCATGTAAAAATGCAACCTCTAGTGGTAGTGACCTTTGTTAAGAAAATAACTGAAATTACTCTTGACTAGCCAGCAAGTTACATATCAGCTGCAAATACAATTACTATTGCAAAACACATGCAAGAAAAATAATTGTTCCACTCATGTTCAGTATATAAGCGCTCCCTTTTCGCATGACAACTGCTCCTGCTGCAGAAAATACCCTTTCTCCTTCAGCAGAAAACCAAAACTGCTCCTTTGTCGTGAGCTAATACATCCTTGCTTGCAGAATTAACGTGCACTTTTTTTTCGCCAAAATCGGTAGCCAAAATTACATGCATGTAACAATAAAAACCAAAAACCAAGGCTAACCGTTCGTTTACATTTGCCATTTTAGTAACTGTATGACCAGATCACGTGAATTCTCTCGCGTCTACAGATTTGAGTCAAACGTCGCTTGTGCCTGCCATTAAGATAAAAATATAAAACAAATTCCCCTAGGAAACTTTGTTTAAACGAAAGGCCAACACACTGGCGGGAAAAGATAACGGAGTACCACTGCGTGTCCTCATAATCAGCAACCCGACGAGCTCACAAAGTTGTTTTGGAATACAACCCCCCCAGAAGCGATGGTCGTGCAGTTGTACAAGCGCGGGAAGCGCGGCACCTAAAATGCTCAAGACATAAGCAGGGATTACCTCTGTGGACAGCGAAGAACCATCGTCGAACTTCGACAACAGCGACTAGTGTACGGTATTTATTTTTGTGTTCGCGTGCGTTTCATAAAATCTGTTCTAAGGGGTATGCGTTCAACTTTGATTATTTTACCTCAGCGGTAAAATATCAGCAGCAATTTACTTTTTGAATACCTGGGAGCTAAATCTTCCTGTGCAATAGATTTGGGGGCGCGTTAGATAGTGCAGACACAGCAGTTGGACATACAACATAACCGGCAAAGGTTTACAGAAAATTGGCTACAATACCCGCAATTTCAGACGACTTAACATGGCTTTTAATTTACGAATATGCAATTCTCGAATCGAATTGAATAAGAGAAATATTCGATTCAATTCATATTCGAAATCTCGAATATTCACACATCCTTACCAATGAGTAAAAATATCCTAACCTAAACCCTACCGTAGAATACCGCGCATCCACCCATTCCACATTAAGCGCCCATATCCCAATTTTTAAGATGTGAAAAAATATGCACAGTACATTTATATGTAAAATTGATGACCGGACAAGCGGCAATTCCCCATTTTTTCGCGATTATCTCTAAATTTTGAGTGGGCACTTGCCCGGTATTTTACGGTGTTATTATTGTTAGCTGAATTCATAAGGATCTTTTTATGAGGGACTTAAAATGTGACTTCAGCAAATGGTGGCATTGTTTGCATAAGAAGCTATGTGTTAAAACATTTAACATTTTTTATTGCCTGTCAAATAAATGTAGGACGTTAAAGAAAAAGCAATTTCAAGGAATGATATACAGCAGGGGTGGCCAAGCTGCAGCACTTTGCTTGTTAAAGTGTGGCTTGCAACTCCTTCCCCTCCCCTCCCTCCCGGTCACACGAGCACTTCCCCCAAAAGATAAATGGAACTAAATCGAAAGCCAGGTTGCAGTTTAATAGTCTTGTGCTACTGCTACTTTACGTACAGTAGAACTGCTTTTGACTCGGATGGATTGAAAGTAGATTGAGTTTCGTTTATTGCTCCGGTTTATTACTTCTTTAAAGTTTTTGCAGCTGCAGAAATCTTCTTAAACTGTCTCCAGAAACTTCTCTATTCTGTTCTTTTTTTTTCCTTTCACAGGTGCCTCCCGTGGTTGGCGGAGCTTGTGGCGGAGTGTTTGGCAAGCAGCCAATACTTATTGACCCTGGCATGCTTCACTTTACAAGGCTGAGTCAGTTCCAATAAAAATGCAATTCTGCACTAAAAAAAAAGGCTCAAGGTACACCTAAGCACTTCTTACGAGTTGTGAATGCGAAAGCATGAATGTCGTTCTTGCGCGCGTTCTCGTGAAGTGGCCGTGCCGCGCTCAGGAGTCTGCTAGAGTGAGCTCTCTCTGGGAGGCCCCACCAGCCAAACGCTTCCTTTTCCCGGCACGCTCTGGCGCGGCCACGCAGCGCCATGGGGAGCCTCTCCCTGAAAGTGACGCCCCTCGGCCAATGGGAGCCTTGTTCCTTGAAATATGATGCTCGCCAGCCAGTGGGATTCTATCAGATTTCGACTTCACACAAAGAGGGCAATGAATTTGCCGTTTGGCTCGGTTTTTTTCTGCGGCTTCAAAGCTGGGAGTCTTCAGATCGCGGCTTCCCTTTGCTCCATTGGGAGTGGGGAGTTCAGCTGTTGTTTGGAGCAGCAGCGTCGGCTTGCTCCACGGAACAATTAATGCCTTCGCATTAAAAGGCAATGAATGTTCAAAGGCAAGCCCCTCACTCACTCACCGCAAGCAGAGATGCACACAGGGTTGGAGCCGGCCACGAATGCGATGAATGGCTCGGCTTGCTGCTGCTGCGGCGATGGCGAAATGCCCGACGCAGCCGCTGCGGCAGCCGCGGCGGCTGCGGCGGCGTTTGCGGTCACCACTCTGGCTGTGACGGCCGTGGCGAGTCCGCTGACGCGCGCCTTGTGCTTGGCCCCCTGCAGGTGGGCGTTGAGCTGTTGCTCCGAGGTGACGCTCGCGTTGCAGGGCTCGCACATAAACACGCGGGGACCCGAAGGGCCCCCCGCCGAGGCGCCCTTGCGGACCTGGCTGGCCTTGATCGCCATGCCTGGCGGTGGCCTGCGAAAAAAACGCCCGGCTTAGGTCTCGTTCGCACGGGCAGTGCCACGCCCCGTCCTGGCGCCAGCACCGTCAGTGCCTCATCGAAATCGGGATGGTACAAAGTTTGAACCACCGGCGACTGAGCTGCGCTTTGTCGCCGGTGGAAGGTGCTGTGGAAGGTGGCGACACAGACGGATGGACGCTGGTGGCTGTGCCCCCTATATTGGGCGGTCACTTGTGCCACTTAGCCCAGAAATCTTTCCGCAGCTTCCTTTTAAATTCTGCGTCAAACTTTTGTAGCCCAATAGACTGTGTAACTGGTATAACCCGTTAATTTCGTGCGCAATTTCACACTTCCCTAGACTGCCAATTTTGTAACCCCCATCTTTGTGACTACTATGTGGCGGTGCCGATCATCAAATGTAGCGGACGATCGGCGTCGATGGGCGCCGCCACAACCGTTTTGTTTCTTGGAGCTTACATTTGGGTCGCAATAACGATCTTGCATGTTTGAAAACCTTTTAGTCTCTACCTTCCGAAACAAAAACGACAAGACCCATGGCGAGCACGTTTCACATCAATTGTTCGTAATGCCACATTTCTTCCCCGTTGATCGATAACCCTGTTTTCTTGCTTGGGTTGTTCTTCATTAAAATCACATTTACGCCTATCGCAGTGGTTCTCAAAGGGGGTTCCGCGAAGGCATTTTAGGGGTCCGCGAAGCCCAGCCTCATCAGTCAAGCCCGGCGATAAAAAATGTATTTTCTTAGAATAAAAAAAAACATTCCAATTTTCGGGGGATTTTTCTCATGTGTATGTCAATAGGAGAACTCTACTTCACACTAGCACTTAGTTGTATCCATTTATTAAATTTTTATTATAATTAACCTGTACTCTCCTTCCTCCCACCACGAACAGGGTCCGCCATCGTCCCCGCCGATCCACAAGGAGTCCGCGAAACATCAGTGGCTGAGAACCAATGGTCTATCGCAAAGGAGCCAATGTGGTCCTACCATGTCAAGGAGCAGGTTAGCAGTAAATCCAATTTTTTGTATGCCTATTGTTCGAGAGCTGTAAACATCAAACAATGCGTGCAATGTCCCACTCATCCCGTCGTCCCAAAAGCTTTGTTGCCTTCCTTGTTGGGGCATGTTAGTCAATCCCCCCTCTTAACTTTTGAGAATCAACCAGATTGAGTGAAAGTTTCCTATTTTGGGATTGGTCTTCCCCCGTTGGGACTGGACTCCCTAGCCCCACCCCTCCGTCTGCCGTCAGTGCAACGTAGAAAATCGTCTTTCGGCGCACTTTGACTCTGCCGGAGCAATGGGGGACCCAAACCGGTCCAAAAACACTTTCGCCGGGACAGAGGAAACAACGGCTGCGTGAACGAGGCCTTAGACGTACCGCTGAACGCAACGGAGGTGCGACAGCACTCGACAGGTGGCTTAATGGCGACACCCGCTACTGAAATGATACGCGACGTGACACAATAGGAGGGTATATCGAATGAGCAAAGGGTTTCTTTATTCATACACCTCTTCTTTTGGGGCACCACATCACATTCGCTGAAAGGACTTCGCACATACAATCCGACCATGAACGAAGCAACGGCTGCACTCCGCCGCCGACAATCTCTCTCGTGGCCTCGCTGTCGTGCGACCACTGACACGAGTTAGCAAGGCTCGTGTGGATAACCACGAAAAGCCATTGCTTGAGAGACAGATGGACAACATTTGCTGCGACGCAAAGGCAACCAGCTGTTGCATTTTATCTATCCCCCTTTAGCCGTCTTCTCTACTACTTATATATCACGATTCCTTTGCCCACTAGCTGCCCCCTCCCTGTCTTCGTTTTCGAGCTTTTCGCGAGCCGGGACATTGCACCGACTCAACAAACGTTGTTTGCCCGATGGATGTCTCCGAATGGCCACGCCTGTGCCGTCGTCGGCAAGTCCACTGCACTTGAGAAGCTAGAAGTCAACTGAATTCTGAATTGTCCGGTGGCAGCCGATGGAGCTAGTGGAAATCATGGTCTCATCTAAAGGACAGCCCATAGGCAGATCTCACCAAGCAAACTGCGCAGGCGCACGCATTCTGGAAGTGGTGCCGCCACCGTGCTACTTACAGTAATTGCCTTCCGGCTGCATAGGCCTGCGTTGCGCATACATCGTTGTACATAATCGTTTAGGATGCCCTGGTGCCGGCTTGGATCTTCCTGTCATGTGGGTACTTCATAAGATTGTGTTGTTTGTGATGCCTTAGTTAGTCACCAAGTGCAGAAAAGCAGCTGCAGTCATCTTAACGTCTTAGAATCGCTTTGCCGTCCACTGCCACGTAAAAGGGACACTAACACCCCTCAAATTTTTTTTTAAATTTTTTGCCAGGCGATTTATTATGGCGTCGGAATACTACCCAATTAATATTTTGCTACAGAGTCATGTATCTTTTTAAAAAAGCCAAAAAACGCAACTGCTCGAAACTGAAACTCCTCAGCAGAGCTCTTCTCCGACAGTGTTGCGAAAAAATGGCGGTCGTCTCCTCTCTGCTCTCTTCTTTCTCTCTCACTCCTTCGACGCTCTCCTCTCCTTCATTTCCTTTTCTCCTCTCCGGCGCCTTCGTCGCCACACCCACTGGCCAAACTCTCCCAATATACGGCTCTGAAGTGACCGACGACCGAAGCGGCAAAATCACGACACGCGGTGCTATTGTTCCCGAGCGCGCTGATAGCAAGAGTGACAGTCACGTTTCATGCCTCAACGTGGGGTGGCCGGCAGAAAGCAGCCCATCCTAAAGCTCGCATTTTAACAGCTATCTTATCCCTCAATTTCTCGCCGGCCATCCCCATGTTGAAACATGCAATGTGACTGGCACTCTCGCTATCGGCGCGCTTGGGAAAAATAGCGCCGGGTGTTGCGAGTTTGCAGCTCCAATCACCGGTCCGTTGTGCTACTCGTTTTCCGTTGCAGCTGTACCAGGCCAAGAATTTAGCGACGAAACTGGAAATACGGAGCGCCTTGAAGGACGGCGTCTCTCGACAACAGGCGATGGGAAGTTACGACGTCAGAAGAAGCACTTTGGCCACGTATGTGAAAATTGAGGGCGAGATCCTACAGGCTTTCGAGAGCGATAAGTTCAACGCGAAAAAAAAGCGGCTGTGGAAGGTAGTGTACCCAAAAGTAGAAGAGGCCTTGCTGCGCTAAATCATCAGCGCACGGGATGCGTAGCTCTGACAGTGCGAGTGCGGCGGGGCACTCGACCGCGCTAAGGAAAGTTACCGTCTCCGGCCAAATGTCGTCCAGAAAGCAGGCGGCAATAAGATTTCTTTTCAAAATAAAGGTATGTCACAGGGAAACGTTTTTGCGCAGTTTTTCTTGTCCTTTCGGTATTTCAACATCCGGATAATTCGGACATTTTTGCCAGTCCCATGAGATCCGAATTAACGAGGTTTTACTCTACACCATAATAGACCACAAGGTGAGTGAGGTTCTTTTGCTGCCTTTTTGGTGGTAAATGTAGCACTTTTAAATTGCATTATGCAATGTTTTCAGGTTTTGTTCGAAAAAAAAAACAAAAAAAAAACAAACTGCTTTCGAAAAAGTTGGTTTCATTTCAAGTGATGCATATCGAGACTCTAAGCTTTTCTTTTTTTAGTGATTGACCTGACTTTTTAAAGCACAGCTGTGCTCGAAACTTGTCTTCGCAATAACAATTACATCGAGCAAAGAGTGCACTAAAAACTGCTAGCGCAAAGCAGCGCGGAGGTCCCGATTGACATAGACCACTACTGAGCGAGTGCTCAGGGAGATTCCACAGCACACGGAACACATTGGCACACTGTACTACCATATTTACACGATTGTAAGTCGCCCCCCCCCCCCCCCCCCCCCCCCCACAATGCACATCAGCAAAAAAATGAAAAATCTTTAGATGTGCATTTTACTGCGGGCACGGGAGAACGGCAAAGTACCTGTTTCGAAAGCCGAGCTTCCAAACACGCGATCGATGCCTTCTGGCGTGCTTTGGCTGCGCATGCACTCGCAAGGTGCATGATATGGCCAGGCGTTATCGAAACTGCAAGTTTACGCTGGAGGCGGGACAACTGAAGCTGCTCACTCTCGTTCTCACTCCGTTGGGGACTAGACTACGACTCGTCCACACAGGTGATGTCAGTCTCGTCGTCATCACTGCTACGTTCTCGAAGCACGTCGTCCGCGTCGTCCAACAAAATCTCGCACTTCGCAAATGACAGGATCAACCGCATCTTCCGCGCTTGCTCGGCGATCGCGTTGGACGTCACGGGTAGAGACTGATTGCACACTTTTGCGGCGTACGTTGCAAGCCTGACTTCCAACTCTGGAACCAGACTTTGGCCACTGCAGGCTCCAATCCACTGATCTACAATAGAGATCAGTGGGAGCATCACCCTCTCCGACGGGTCGAACTTGCGTCCAACAGTGCACTTGTCTCCGACGGGTCGAACTTGTGTCCAACAGCGCAGTTGTTAGTTGCTTCTGAGTGAAGAATGGCCATAAACGAGCACCGAAAACCTAAACTGCCCGATCACGCGTGTCAATACAAAAAAATGTAGTTAGCACTCTAGCACTATCTCGTCACTCGATCAAACGATGTGCGACCGTGAATCGTGCGAAAAACTGCGAAGAGAAGACGCGGGTAGAGCCACGAGGCTGTTCCAACGGCCTCCGAACTAGCTCTTACAAGAAGTGCCGCCACCCCCCGGGGGTCAAGTGCGCCGTGTGCTGTTCACCCCCATATATTCAAGTTAATTTGCGAACTTGTTTGCGCAAACAAAAAAATAATTAATTTGTAAAATGAGCCCATAGAATAGTGCAATGCTAGAGTAGAGGTACAGCCAGCTGAACTCGTAACAGGCCGGGGTGTTCATGATATCGCGATTGTTTCATTTTTGCCGGTGGTGGAATGCTTTGGTTCGATTATAAGTCAACATTTCCACTTCAGATTTTCAAAAATTGAAAAAAGGGTCGACCTACATTCGTGTAAATATGGTATGTCTCATGTCATGTAATCTTACACTCTTTAGCTAACATGCAATGGAGTGGACATAAATTATGAAGCAAAGTGCGAAAGAAATAAAAAAACACTCTTTTTCCTGTCTGGCTCTGTTTAAATTTTTTAGCCAATTTGGTCGGAGCCTGCTTTCCTTCGGTAAGACAAAATCCTATGCCGTAAGTAAACACTCAATTAAAAGTCTCGTGCTAACCCGACAAATTTCTCAACGCCGAGCATACAATGCGCACTTATGGTAGAATGCTCCACAGAGCAGTGGCGTCGCACAACTCCCGGTGAGATCCGTCCATTCCAATTGCGAAGAGCTTGTTAGAACAAAAAAAGTGCTGCAGCGAGTTGTAGAGATTAAGCAGCAGCAAAACGGGAGCAGAACCCACAGCCCATTAATGACGAGACGTATCGTCAGAAAGTTGCGGCGACAACACGGGGAGAAGAACTGTCAGGTTCCCCTGGCAACGGCCACCACTCCTTGGCCCAAGAGCCGCTAAACGAGCTACGCGTAAAGTGTGGTCACTCCATTCCCCAACAGTCTTGTGGGTGCGAACATCTCGTTGCCTACTGTAGAGTGGGAGCAATAGACCTTTCGCGAAATTACCCAAGCATCAAAGAGAATGTTGCAACCGCAGGTACACGCACAGCACGCAGTTGCCTTCCCCCTACGAGATCTGAAGTAAATAGCCGAAATAAAGTGTTTCTAGAACGCACGTGCAAAGTGCCAGTTCTTTTAGATTTTTTTCTTTCGAACAGTTACAGCTGCAGAATGCAGAGCGTGTACTTACGTTCCTGGCATTCGCTTCGATGCTTGGGTAATTGGGCAAAAAGCCTATTTGTACAGCCACGAATCAAAGCCCCACTTCCCGAGCTTCAGATGCGGTGTAAGGAAGCTCGGGTGATATCGCTTTGCTATGTCGCGGTCTGTTTAAACATCATATCTGGAGGACAAAAAAGCGTTTCTCGTGATTTGGAATGAAGCTTCGAGATAACAACCAGCAATAAAAAACGTTCAGCCTTTCCACTCCCGTGAAGAAGGAAGACCAGCGGAGCTGTACTCAATACACTGCCGCAACGCGCACGCGCCCGATTCCCGCTTTTTCTTGTTCGACACGCCGCCGATCGTGGATACGTCTCCGGTGAACCACAGTTGGTCGTACACGACGCACGTGACGCCAAACGGGTTCTCCAAGAACCCCCTCCCGGAACCTCGCTGTCGCACCCAGGAACTGTTCAGCCGGCGTGGAGTGCAGTCGTCGCCGGGCCTCGCGCGCTTTGCGTTGGCTCCGTGGCAAGATCGTCGTCCGTGGTGTTGGCCCGGCGGCGCCCTTTACATCGCTGGTTCTGTTCTAGGCAATGGCTTTCCAGGCGAGCGATGTGCTCTTTGGCAAGGGAATCTGAAGCACTGGACGCAGTGGAAGTCGAGGCGACAGCGACTTTGCAGCGGTTGCGGACCCATTCGCGCTGCTGTGTATGTCGCCGCTCCTTCCGCAGCCCGTCTCCTTTCCCCGAAAGGGCGCGTGGCCGACCCATCGTGAGTCCGAACCGAAACTGATAAGAGCGTAGGAGCGCAGGAAACAGCGCACAAAACAGACGAGGACGCACAAACAAGCGTGACGAGTGCTGCGCTCATTACGTGTGCTTCTTCTTTGTCGTCGTCTGTTTTTCGCGCTGTTTCCTACGATGAATTCCCACCAACGCACCCAACTATCAATTCTTCTATGATAGTTAAAAAAATTGCCGCCATCTGGGAGCGACGGCAGAAACAAGACTGGTTGTGTGCTTGCTGCCGTCGCTTATAGATGGCGGCAGCTGTCCAGGTAGGTTTGTGTCGACATACTGGACACGATCCTGGGGAACCTAGCCCTTAACAGCACCGCTGCAAAACATAAAACGGCTCAGAGGTCGTAACTCTGAAGTGTAGCCTCGTCAGAAGACCTAAATGGTCCCGTTCAGCGCGGTTCAACGGGGGACTAGCCGAGGATGAGGGAGCAAGCACGTACTGCCTCTGCCAGCGGCCGGTGGCGGGGTTGTAGAAGCCCTTGGGCAGGGGGGGCTGCCCTCTGAGACGCCTCTGGTGGTTGCGCCCTTCGTAGTGCTGCTTGGCCTGGATCTCCGAGGTGAAGGCCACGTCACACAGCTTGCAGAACTTCTCCAGGGTGTCAGTCGCCGACCGCTTGCCATCCTGCGTGCAACGACGCCAGAGGGATTGGACGCCAAGATCTCGGCCCGCAAACGCGAGGACGACTTGAAGGAACGAACAAAAGCAAGCACCTGTCCGTCAGTTTTGTCTCTTCCAGAGCCGTTAAAATTGCTCGGATACAAATAACTGAGTTATACACTAACTGGAGCTGCAATAATCAAGTTACAAAGGCAACTACCCCCTTAAAGGCCGCCGTACAAACGGGCCGTTCTGCAGGGAAGAACCTTCTCTCCCAAAGTTGCGGGACGGGGAGGGAACAGGCCAGCGAAGGATGAAAAGAGTGTCGACAGAACGGGATTTGCCTCAGGGCGAGCTATCCTCTCGAGAGGGAGGTGGGGACGGAGCAAAGCTGCCGTTGGGGTTCCGGCAACCAGGTGGAAGAAAGATAAGCTTGTCAAGCGGCGACCTTGGATGCAGGGAACGGGCACGTCAGAGAATTTGAAAGTAGCCTTCCCGGTTGTGGTCTCGTGCTGCTTGATGAGCTGGACGACCCAGTGCGGTCTACTGGCTTTAAAAGGTGATTCGGATGAGCTGTTGTTGTTGTTGAGTGTTATTACACACGGGAACAGGGGATGCCTGCACGTATGATTCGGATGAGAAAAACTGGCTTTGCTCCAAAAGTCTAAAATGAATCGGGTGAAGAAAACTAATTTTGCTCCAAGAGTCTAAAAGCATTCTGGAACGTGAATTCTGGCCATAAATAAAGTAAACACAGGTATGAAAAACTACGGGGCGCCTAAGCTTTCTCCTATGATGTGAGAATGCATGAGCTTACCCTTGGCCGAATTATGTTGGTGCAACGTATAGCACGCTAGGTTCACGATCAAGAGGGCCTAGCGTCGAAATCGGCAAAAAAAAAATGGTTTTTACTCGTTTTTTTGTTTGGTCGCGTGGACAGTTTTTTTTTTTTGGTCACGTGACCAAACTTCTTTTCTTATTTTTCCTTTTTTCTGTCTTTTTTTTGTTTTCGGTTTACGCTCCCTTTTGCAAAAACACTTTGCACCTATTTCGTGTTACTTTGGCTTTAGCCAAATCATTTTTTTTCTTATGGCAGGGTATTCTGCCGTACGTGTCTTATGTTACTATTACCAACCCTGGCTTGCAATTCGCATAACAATTTTGTCCGGCAACGAGTTTGGGAATGACAAGGCTAACTTTGTGTTATAATTTTTTTTAGGTCTAAGCACAATCTTGACCTCGTTGTCCATCGGTCTCTATGATAGGCTTTTCAAGTATCCTTTGGGAAAGTAGACGACAGGCATTTTTAGAGAGTACCTGTGTCAACCAAAGTGGACATTGCTGAAGCGCCTCTAGTGTGATTTTGGCCGTAAATAACTGGAGGCCCCCGGCAAACCCAACCAATGTAGAAAAGTATCTACCTTTCTGGTTTCATACAGAGCTATGAAAGCCAGAAAAGACGAACCCTAGCTGAGTCAAACAACCGGTTTGCAAACGCAATCGTGTTGATAATAGCGCCAAGGAGATTGTATGACTTTTTCTGGTGGTGTGCAGAGAGTGAAGCCACGGAGGTAATGCTTTTGCCTATAGTCACCTCGCGAATGGATCCGTATTGGCTGCAGAGATCCATTTAACTTTGTTTTATTACCGTGATTATATTTTGATTTTTGTGTTCCTAATTTCACAGACAGAAATCGCTTTTCTCGCGTGACGTCACGGCGGGGAAACAGGAATCAATCAGTGTACCGAAATTGTAGCGACGCTTGTGCTCGTTCTATAGCGCCTCTAAAAACCGTGCGATCACGGCTGTGCAACGTCAACATTGCATAGACTGCCGTTAATTGTAGTCGTATTGCATCGTAAGGGAACGACTATGACTGGGTAAACAGGAATAGGGGGAATGGGTGCGTGTGATTTGTTGAAGTTCGATTCAACAAATCGAGCTTCACAAAATCTGATAGTATTGAATTCACTCAACCAGCTATATGAGTTTTCAGATGGAGTATATAACGGTATACACCTTCCAAGTATGCGATTCGTGTTCTGCCAGTGGTACCTCAGCTAGACTCAAATGCAAAACCCGCATTGAAAAGAAAAGAAAAAAAAAAAAAAAGGTTTACGGTGATTTGAGTTGCTCCCGCGCCGAATTATGTTTCACGTAAGCATAATCTTGGGTTCGATGCACGACGAGAGGTTTTCATTCATAAAAATATTTTGATTACGATGATTATCAGCGCTAAAAATTTGAAAGCCAAGCAATGAAGACAACGGTGTTCTTATAAATATTATGTACATTTTATTTTGCTCTGTTTGAATACGCTGCTGTCGTTGTGTCCTTGCTTTTTTGGTCAATCAGGTAATGGGCAAGGTTTCAGGGGCTGAAAAAAAAAAAAAAAAGGTAACGTTATTAAATACACAGCGTGCAAGTGCACCAAAATAGTTTTTCGCGCACAAGAACTTTTTTGCTAGGAATTGGGGAAAAAAGTAAGTACAAGAAAGGGGAACGCCAATCAACGGGCAACATAAAGGACGCGCAAAGAGCACGCAGTGACGAAGCAGAAAAGCACACGGTAGCACTGGTTGAAATGAGGGGTAAACAACAGTATGTCAGCGCATTTGAGGGGCCCTTTCCACTTGCAGGTGTAGCGTGGCGCGCATGTGCAGTTGGTGAGACGTTGACCGGAGCGGAAAATGAACTCCCTAATGGAATTGAAGATAAACTCGTGACCACATTTGAAATTTATTTTTAGGGGCATTACTTCTAGCTGCTACGCTGCATCAAGTTTTCGCTCACGATTTCTGACCTAAAACATTTAGAGCAAGGTATACCTTGATTTCAGGAGCCATTTTCAGGGATGGACTCGTCCGTTTCTTGGCTAGACTCCTTCAAGGCTGCAGTTTCAAGGAGCAGGTGGCGGATCTTGTGCGTGAAACTAAAATAAAAATAATTTATTAGGCGCTTGTACTATCGGTACAATTCACTGGTCTTGTACATGGAGGTTTTATATCAAATAATATTAAAGCTTATTACTTGAAACACTGATTGCAAACAGAAACAGACCTGATAAGAAACAAAACTAGGTCTCTCTCATATTGAAATAATCAACTATTCAGTAGCTTGATTGAGGCCTTAGGTTGTAATAATTTTGTTGGCCGAGATAACTCCGAAGACCGCAGTGATTGGCTCTCCCTAGTGTTCTGCCGGGAAATGGACGCATGGAGTATTTTTAGGCGCATACAGGTGCTCATTTATAAAATACATGCACGAGGCAAGCCAACCAGTTACAATTACCACAGGACCTATGAAAGTCATTAAATCAATAGTTCCATTTGAGGGGCACTTCATTTGCTTAGGGTATCACCGAGTATATGCTACCTCTCTTATATACGTGCTAACATTTTTTGTATTTTTTCATATATTAAATAGAGCTTTCCTCCCGTAACACTCCAGCAATGTTCACCAACAATAGTTCTGCGAGAGTTAGTCGCGAGATGATGGTCATACCTAAACGTCTTTTTCGTGTACTTCTTCTTCCCCCCCTGTCGATCAGGATGACAGGCGTCCTCGACAAGTACGTCGACGTATACTGCCGACCGACATGCTCATTCCAATCCAGGCCTGCGAGACCCTGTCTGAGGTTGTAGGAGCGGTCCATATAATGAACTCGCTTGTCTATGTAGATCGACATGGTGTTGTTGAAGGACTCCACGTGGTAGGTGTCTTTTGCTTGGATGTAGTCCCCAGCATTCTTGAAGACTGTTGTCGATCTCAAAAAAGAAGAGAGGAGATTCTCTGCGACTGGATCTTGGATCAACAGCGTACTCGGAACATGCCCCGCCGTCTTACAGGGAGAGTCCTCCACGCAGTTGGAATGGCGTCCACAAAAGTGGTCAACGCAGTTCAGCAGCGTCGTCCTCAGTTTGGTGGCGCTACCATCGCACGTTGCCATAGCAAAATATACATGGTTCCTCACCAACTTGCACTTGTCCGAAAGCTCAGGGTGCCACGTCTTACCTTCACTTTTTTTGGGGCCAAACGCTATCGTTTTCATTCCTTTGAGCGTTCCTTTGGCGGCGTGCCATCTGTCGTTGGAGTTCGTTGTCCCATTACGCTCTCTGATAATCTTGTTGACCGTCGTGTTTCTGTCGTGTGAGTGGTCAGTAACTGAAATGTTTCTTTCATCAAAGTACTTGTAGAGCTTTCGCGTTCCAACGGCTTCGTGTTTTTGTGATGATGGCTCCTCTTTTTTGGTAATATGTACAATTCCCACCACCTTGTAGGTCTTTTGCCCTAGGGCAATAACGTCAGTATGAAACAAATTTTTTCTGCAGGCGTGCCTGGCATCTGTTTCGATGCTCAGCGATGTCGTCGAGGATTCTGGCTGATCTGTTAATCTCGCTTCCTCTTGCTGAGATGCTGTCAATGACTCCATTACTGAAATCTCCACCGCAGCACCAATCTTACAGTGAGCTTGTCGAGTGTTCGACGTGAATAAGGGACTCCACTGAACAAGCAAAACTTTTCAATTTGAGTTCCCAGCATTCCGCTGCACACGAAGGCAACTGCCACAGAGCAGTCCACAACTCGCAAATCTCCAACACTGGAGCTCGTATCTAAAACTAAAGTATGTTCATGGCATCTCAATTCTAGGCGAGCTGCGAATCCCCTTGGTGTCACCTTGACGATTACGACATCTTCTGGACACCTCCGAGCGTGATCTTGGACAGCGTTGACCATCTTGGATAGTGCTGACGAGTCGCAGAGTAAAAGTGATGGTTCCTCGCTGGCCCTCTCTGCCACTAGTGAAGCAGCCTTGTTCACTCGTTGGTTCTCATCATCAGCCAGCATCTGTACTGCTTTTGTGATGACACCAGCTAACGGTTCATCCTTGTGTGCATGCTTCGCCTTTTTCAGCAAGTCATCAAAGTTGCTCATTTCTTCTTCGGAGGAAAATGTCAGGTTTATAGTTCTGCGGAAACTTTTTCTGGTGCAGGTATACTCCTTCTCTCTTCCATCGCTCAAA